AATAATAATAATAATAATAATAATAATAATAATAATAATAATAATAATAATAATAAGTCTACTGAAATCATATTAGAGAACAGATCACTGGCTGGTAAGAGCAGAGGGGATTAATGAGAGATCACAGGATGATCATAAGTATAGAAAGAAATGTGAGAAAGTCATAAAAATGTTATTTTTGTGCAGGAACCAACCTGATGAGGGCAGGAAGCCAGATATGGGATTAATGTGTTAGAATAGAGCTGGAAGGGTCCTTGGAGGTCTTCTAGCCAACCCCCTGATCAAGCAGGAGACTATGCCATTTCAGACTGTTCAGTCTCTTTTTCAAACCTCCAGTGATGGAGCGCCCACAACTTCTCGTGGCAAGCTGTTCCACTGGTTAATTGTCCTCACTCTTAGGAAGTTTCTCCTTAATTCCAGGTTGCTTCCCTCCTGGATTGGTTTCCAACCATTGTTTCTTGTCCAGGGATTAAAAGAAGAAGGCCATTTGGACGGAAGAGAATAACTTGGGTGTCAAACTACGGACGGAAAATGAGAAGAGAAGGATGTGAAGACTCTTGCCATCAAGGAAAGACATGAATAGAGTAGTATTTTATGACAGATGTACAGGTCATCCTTGACATACAACCAGTGGTGGGATCCAGCCAGTTTGCACCAGTTCGGGAGAACCGGTTGTTAACTTTCTGAGCAGTGTGTTGAACTGGTTGTCGGAAGAAATCATTAAGGCAGAGAACCGGTTGTTAAATTATTTGAATCCCACCACTGCTTACAACCATTCATTTAGCGGTTGTTCAAAGATACAATGGCACTGAAAAAGGTGACTTCCAACCAGCCCTCACACTTTCCACCCTGACAGTATCTCCAGGGTCATGTGATCAAAAATTTAGCCACTTGCCAAGTATTGCCAACAGTTGCCGTGTCCCAGGATCATGTGAGATCACCCTTTGCCACCTTTCCAGTTGGCTTCTGATATGTAGAGTCAAGGAGGGGTTCCTTTGATTTGCTTAACAAACGCCAGTGGATTCATTCAACCCTTTTGACCAAAAAGGTTGCAAAATGAGGCACTCAACAACCCTCTGGGCCTTAGCAACCGACAATTCTTGGCCTAATTGTTGTTTCCAGTTGAGGACCCATTTGTAAAAGTGAGAAGAAATGGGGACGAATTTCGTGAATTCAGAATTCATGGGTCAGGGATTGGCAGAGCCTGCGGGAAAGCGGAAGTTCTTAAGAAAAGAAAGGAGAAAGAAAAGACTCAGTTTTTTTGGCCTTGTGGTTTCAAAGTCCATATATCAAGACCTTTCCAGGTCTGGCACAGATTTTTTTCACGCTCGAGGGCCACTCTTTCGGGAACAGAAGCTTGTAGGATAAGGGGGAAAATGTTTCCCAGCTGTACTTTGGCATCTGTTCCATTCTGAAGGATATACGGAACATGTTAATGGCCTGCAAGTAAATGTGCAAATTGATGGGGACATGCTAACTCACATGGGCTTCAGTGTGCAACAGTTTCTTCCAATTCTGGAATGCGCTCAGGTGCACGATGGGTAGGGAGTTGGGTAGGCAGATGATGGTCAGGGATGCATTGAGATGAATGGATGATGTGTGTGTATGTGGTTTCTTTGCCAGGGAGGAGGAGAAAGAAAACAATTAAAATCCCAATACCTATTTCATGTACTTATTCATTTAATTGCACAGTGGCAGATAGGGCAGCACTCCAGAGGGTTAATGTCATTGCCCAGAGGGTCATTGGTTGCCCTCTCCCCCCTTTGGAAGAGCTTTATACCTCCCGCTGCCTTAAGAAAGTTCAAAACATTCTCAAAGATCCATCTCATCCTGGGAACCCCTTTTTTTTTAACTATTACCATCTGGCAGATTTTATAGGACCATAAAAACAAAGACAAATGCGCTGAAAAACAGCTTCTATCCCAGGGCAGTAACTCTATTGAATTCTACTGT